AGTGCAGCGCCTGCGTTCCACTCTCAAACCTTACGAAACCTTCGCTTTGCCGTGCCTACGGGCCCACGCTCCGAGACTGGTCCGAACGTATCCGAACGTGCTCCGAGCCTGTTCCGAGGTTGCTCCAAGACTGCTCCAACCAGGCGTCGTGAACAGGCTAGCGCTAGCTGTCAGCTCTCCAGAGACGCCACTTCACGCGCAGGGCCACGCTTCTTGCACATTTCTAGTCTCCCGCCACACGCGCGCAGATTTTTCTCACGTGCTTGCTCCTTCTCTTCTCATCTGTCTCAGAGAGAGCGAGCTTTCAACTAGTTGCCGTAACACGGAAGTTCCTTCTAATCTTCCTTCGACCATTCACCCACCCACACACACACATCGACCTACCCACGCATGGGCATCTGAGTGCATTGGAATCGCTTTAGTTAAGTCCGTTCACATTTCAGGGAGAAGCCATGCATAGCCAGCCTGGGCCAATGCTCATTTGGAACACATATTTTCCTTGTGATGTTGACGTCTGGCACATACAGGGGGCCTCAGTTGATTCTGTAAGCCAACATGCTTTGGTTGACACCATGCGCGTATAGTAGAAAATGTCTAGCCAACATGGGTTCCCATTTTTGCACGCATAAACAGGATTTGCCACAGCTTCCATTGGTCCGAGTTCCTGGGCGGGCTGGGCGATCACACCTAAGAGATGGTACAAAGAGGCTTGAGCAAAAGGATTCTTTGGGTACCACAACAGCTTCGAACAGGCGTGACACATTCAAGGCCGACTGAGCGTAGTTGAATCTTTTATGCCCTCAAATGGTCTCTGGCAAAGTACATTGAAACCCATTTAAGTTTCAAGTTAACTTAAACAACAATACCATTTCTTAAAACACGCACATAGCCAAAAGGACTCTGAAGTGCGTTGAAAAGTGGTACTTTGAAGCTTGGCATTTGAGCTGGTTTCACCTGAGGGGTGCCCACTAGCCACACAGATGTTTGTACATGTGTATATTCATATTAGACATACGTTCTCGTGTGTGACCGTCAACTACGGCCGGTTTCATTTTGCAGCTTGCCAACAACAGGGTAAGGGCCTGCAATCGTTTTTTCGGGCAAACGTGGCGATCTGCCTGCAGAGTTCATCTTTGAAACTTGGAGGTTGGCCAACTCAGCTTGGCATGCCAGCGCCAAACATGTTTACTGTCTGGAGATTTGAGCAGGCTTAGTCATCAGCTATTCAACCAGTATCTATATATTCTATACATTTAAACCCCAGTATATGCTAGGGTTCCTATGGAAAGGGTTTCATTTGGTCAGCGCTCCTTTCTTCAGGAACCATGACACCCAAAAACATCCCCCCGCCCTCGGCCGGGCATGAAGCTAGGATGCAACAGGAATGCACATCCGTTTGAACAACTCCCAAGTGTTTCGAGAGGTGATGCGTCGTTTTCGATGATGCGCAATTGAAAGCGAACCCAAGGTGAACCATTTGATGGGGGCCTCCACTTTTGGACAAAAACCCGATGCCCCACAAACTACGACCGAGCAGTGCCAGATCTGGCGCTTGGCCTATTCCCCGGACGACCTGCTTCTGGCGTCCACCAGCGCTGATGGCACCGTGCGGCTTTGGGAGGCCCAGAACGTGAAGATTTGAACACGGGCTCAACAAGCGAAACACCGGTGCCACTTGCGGGGGGTCTCCACTTCTTAACCGGATGGGTTGAAAACTACAGCAAAATAACACCGGCGCCCCTTTTGAGGGCAAGATTAGCAGGCCTTTCAAGTTGTTTGGTCGATTTACTGCCCTTGAAAACACCTCCACGTGCCGCTCTGCAATGCGTCCCAAATGAAGAGAGGGGCACATACAGCATCACATGTATGCCAACCACATGCTGGATTTCTGCAACCTGCGCAGTGGAGAACTGGCCGAAGCACACACAGGTCATCCTACGGGCTCAAGATCAGGGGATCCTAAACGGGGTCCAGCTTGCGCCAAAGGACAACCGTGTGTATAGCGTCCTACATTTGTCGGAACCTATTTCGGGTAATTTGGTGAAAAGGAGCATGTGTTTTCAATGAAGTGCGACTGCCCGGCCAGGTCAGCACGGGCCTGCCTGTGATGATCCTGCCCCGGAACCATGCGAACTGGGCGCGCAGCCACAGAACGCACAGAGCTCACCGACGCCCAAATGTGACCAAGAGGGACGACGGTAGCTATCAGGGTCCGTTTAATTGAAGGAGACGGGGTGGCCATCATGTTAGCTACGCTTGCTGGGGTAGAATGGGTAAGGAGAGTCTGCGCGCCACCGAAGGGGGAAAAGTCACGCGGTCAGATTCGTATGCTCGCTCGCGCGCCAGGGACGGTCACAAGACTGGGTCGAACAGGAATCCTCACATCCCAAGCATGAAAACAGCCCAGGGCCGCATGGAATTGGCGCAAAGCGATCTCAAGTTTGGCCCCCCGTGGGATCTGATCGTCAGCAGGAGAGCCCATCCTTGATCCCGGGTTTGAGATACTACTGGTTGTGTGTCTAGGGGAGATTGTCATGCAGGATACTTGCTGTACTGGTCTGATCGCTTTCTGTGTCATCAGACCCGAGCTTGCGCAAGCTTTGCAGACTGGCGTACTCGATGCGCTTTTTTTTTGGACAGGTCTGGAGCCTTGCCTGGTCTCCAGATGGTAGCCGCCTTGCCACCGGAGGCGCAGTTCACATGCCTCTACGTGTATGTATGTGTGTGTGTGACAGGACCGGAAGTCGATGGATGGCCTGTGCTGGACCTGTTACCTGCACTTGTGACTTTTAGCTTCCCCACGAGGTCCGCGTAGGCGGCAGGTTCCTCACAGGCTTTCTACGGCTTCCCCCTGAAATGTTAGATTTCTTGCAGGTTATCCAACTCCCTTTCCCGCTGAACATCATGCCCTGGAAACCTGGTAGGGTTGGAAGAGGAACTGAAAACCACTTCCTTGCAGAGCTTGCTTGGTTGGTGGGTTGGTTTGTTTAGTGTGTTGTGTTTATTTGTTTTGTTACATGTTTGCTTGATTCGGCTGGCTTGGCTCATTTGTGAGTTTATTTGCCCGGTTTCTGGCTTTGTTCGCTTCTGTTGTGCTTGCTTGGTCGTTGAATTGTTTGTTTGCTGGACTGGCCCGAGAACGAGGCAGTCCCGTTAGGCATGTGCATTCATAGCTTGCGATTCTGAGCTCGTGTGCATTTTTCTACTGTCGAACTTGGGACCTTTAAGTGCAAAGAGGTGGGGTCTCCGCTCTGTGGTGTTCCCATGTGCTTGCCCGCCAGGCTCAGATGCGCGCATTCTAGTCTGGGATGCGCACGAAGCTGGGCGCTCTGTGTGCTTTCCAGTCAATGATGGATATGATCATGCTGGTCTTAGGACGAGATGATTCCAATCATCCAATCTGGACCGATGTTCGGTCAGTTTCCAAAAACGTCCGTGAAGGTGGGGCATGGCCCATTGCTCCATGTTTACATTGCACAAATCATCACAGCCAGCAGCGACCTTAGGATATGTCTTCAGACGTTCCCAAGAGAACATTGCCGCGGGATGAAGTCTCACGTCCAACACCTTGAACAATCACGACACCTGCCACTAGTCACTGGTGATTCCATTCTTTATGTATCGCCGGATATGCATCCCTTCATGCTGCCTCCCGATTACGAAGCTTGTAGTGAATGGCCAAGGCAGCTGAAGGGGCTCAGCGAGTTCAAGAGCTAAGTGCTCGAGCTTCTGCGGACCGGATTTTTTTGCTTGTGACTCTCCTGAGAATTAAGAACCTGGAGCTTTCTCCAAAATGCTGAAGTCACAGAGTAAACGCCTAAAAGAAGTGGAGCAACAATACTTGTAACTGTGTCATCAGTTGGCACTTGCAAAAGGAACCAACGGATTTGAAGTTGCCCCACAACTGCAGGATATCTAACGGTGTGATGTTGCCTACGTATCTTCATGTCAATTCATGTCAAGATGCAGACTCTTTGAGAGCTTGACAGCTGCCAGGACCCTTCTTGGGCGCAGACTGCGGCAGAGGAGGCTGAGAAGGCAGCGATTTCGTCTGTTTTAAGGCTATGATGTGTGGCAAAATCAGAGACTCAAATGTCGTGCACTCTGTTGATTTGTTCAAATATCATAGGGCCGCCCCTGGTGTTGACACATTCTCATGTTGGATTGATCCCTTCTGCACGGTCAGGCGTTGTGGTGGGGGGCGCATGGGTGGGCCAAGAGAGGAGAGACAGCCTGACGCGCATTCTCAAAACTTCCGCAAGCAGCTCGTTTCACCCGACTATTCAAGGCGTAGCCAATGCTTCAGGTGCGATAACCTCCCGTCCCATCGAGTATTAGAACTCCTTAAACTTCCAAGGACGCCTCACCCCCGGCATTTGACTTAGATGGCCAGGTGACAATTTTGGTTGAACGCCATGTTTAGAGGAGAAGTTGCATTTTTGGACTCTACAGAGTTCTGCTGCAAAGGACAACTGGTGCTAGGGATGAGAGGGAACAAGAGCTTGGAGGTGGGCAAGAGCCATGGCATCCAGAGGAATTGAACCAAGGCCGGCCAGATCCGAGATGACAGATGCGAGCAAGCCCACCGTTTCAATGGTTGGTTGGCCACGAGAACCGTTGTGATGCAACCCTCCGGGCGTACACAGGGGTTGTACCCCACTATCGGGGCGGGCCCCTACTGCTTGTTGAGGATCATATACCAAGCGCGTGCCATGGGGGTACGGTGAGCCTTCAGCAATCACCACGTTGGGCCTTGACACTATTCTGATATTCAACAACAAACCATATCGCCCATTGCTCATGTTTTTTAGGTGGATGCATTGCGATTCCAAGCTGAGTCGTGCCCACTTGGCTCTTTGCCCAGCCTGCAACCCGCCGAGCAGCTGCAGAGCCCAAGTCACCAGATGTTTGGCAGGCCGCGCGAAGTGGCGTCACCGGAGCCAAACTTTAGCTAAAATGATCATGTGCAAAGCCAAATCTGAGCTGAAATCATTCGAGCCATGTTCAGACTGTCGCCACACGCCGGCATTGCACCTCGGCTTTACTGGCGGTGTAGCGTTTGCTCAGTCCAGGCTGTTTCATTTAGCAGATGCGGTTTTGCCACAAGGGGGGACGGGCGGACGGATGGTGCACCCGTGGCGCTCAGATCGCCCGATGCTTTGCTCGTTCTCACCTCCATGCGCGGGCGTTCTGTGCAGATGCTCCTTGGAGTCCCAGGGCAATTTGGAAACTGGATGCCCCGTTTTGAAACCTTAATTTCAAGGCGTTGCAACATTTAAGGCCAACTTATTGATTGAAGGGCCACGCCCAGAGCGCGCGCGGCCACGCGCCGTCAGGAATGGCTTGGGGAATCATGGCCCGACGCAAGGGATGCAGGCGATGCGCGAAACACAGGGGCTTCCGAAAGCGTTGGCGATGCTGGCATGGCCGCGCGGCGGGGAGGATGCACCAAAGGCGCTGGACATGTGCAGACAGCCACCGTCAGTCGGAAGGCAAACCTAGGCATGCGCCCCTTTGGGCGACATAGCACGGCGAGGCTGGATTTCGGCTGCTGGTGCGCAACCGGCCGCGGAAGCACCGCGACGCTGGGCTTCATATGCGCCAGCTCTTACTCCACCAAGGAGGCTTGCAGCAACAACAACAACAACAACAACCACAACCACAACCACAACCACAACAACAACCACAACCACAACCGCAACAACAACAACAACAACAACAACAACAACAACAACAACAACAACAACAACAACAACAACAACAGCCAACAGCAGCAACAACGACGACGACAACGACAACAACGACAACAACCACCACCACCGCCACCACCACCACCAACCACAACAACAGCAACATAAACAGCAACAGCAACAGCAACAACAACAACAACAGCGTGAACAACTGCAAGACGCTGTCCAGCATCAGCGCCTTGTCACTGGCCTGCTTAGTCGCGCTGCTGCTTTTCGCGAAGTGTTTTTCTGTAGTAGAGGTTTCCATTTGCTTGGTGTCTCTTGCTGCAATTCTTTCTGTGAAGTGGAATTTTTCAGGGCCTGTCATTGGCCGGCTTGGTCGGCCTGCTGCTTTTCGCGAAATGTTTCTTCAGAACTTTCCATTTGCTTGTTGCCTCTGGCTGCCATTTTTGCGAAGGTGGGCTTTAAGATTGCAAGGTTTCAGATTCTAAGGCTCTAATATTTGAAGGGTTACGGTTTTCAGACTTCAAGATTTCAAGGTTTTAAGGCTCTAAGATTGTATGATTCTTTAATTTTCATAATTGCTATTGTCTATTATTCTCAGGTTTGCAATCACGAGGTTTTAAGATTTCGAGATTTGAACATTGATTGCAATGTTTGAAGAGTTTAAGACTTTAAGATTTTCAGGTTCTATTACTTTTCAACCATTGAAGATCTTAAGGTTTTAGGGCTTCAAGGTTTTAAGACTTGCAGACTTTAAGGCTCTAAGATGTTTAGATTTCATTTTTCAACATTTTGCGATTTCAAAATCTTAAGATGTAAAGGTTAAGGTTTTAAGTTTTAAGGTTTCAATGTTTCGCGCTTAAGTTTTTATAATTTGGGGATACAGATTTCAGCATGTAAAGACATTGTAAAAGTGTAAGATTTTATGTTTTGGTTCAAGACTTTGAGATGTCGTCAACAAAGGCCAGAGTCCCCAGCATCCCCAGCATCACCGGCACGGGCCCGCAGACCCACAAGCCCAAAAGCCGGCGCAAAACATGCCAGGAAGCGGAAAATCACCTGCAAATCCTTCGCCCCTTGTGAGGGTGGGCGCAGCGCGAAATTCAGTCTTTGCAGGGCCCCCAGCATCCTCGGCATGGCGCGTCGGAGGCCCTTTTGCGCTTCGCTCTATTTTAAAGGGTGAAGGGGGGGAATCTGCCACACGTTCGGCCAATTGGCCGCGGCCGGATTTTCGTTGCTGGCGCAAAACCGGCCACGGCAGCATTGCGACACCGCACTTCGCTTCTGCTAGCTCTCACTCCTTGAAATGCTCAAAGTTGATCAGGCTTGCGCGAAATGACACCCAGGCAGCATCGCTAGCGCTGTGAGTCAGCATCGCCAGCATCTGCACGTATCATTGTAGCAGTGAATGTCCGGTGTTTCCCCGATTTTCGTTTCACCTTTGAGATGAGTGTTCATAGTTTCCTCATTACCCCAGAACCTGGGGGTACCTTTATAGTTGGCGACCATCCTTTGGTCTTGAAAGGGTGTCTTTTTCTGCGAGTGGCCGCTGGTAGGCCCAGCCGCGCACAGGCGCGCAAGCACACGTGCGGCGCGCGCGCGCACACGCGCTCGCAGCTTGCGCACGCACGCACGCACGCGCGCACGCGCGCGCGCTCACGCACGCGGCCTGGGCCAGTTGCCGTGCCAAGCGTGTCAAAACCCGTCGTCTTTGTTGGTTTTTTGCATTGACAACCCCCAGCATCGCCCGCATCACCAGCGTCACCCGCATCACTGGGGCAAGCCCGCAGAATCACAAGCCCAAGGCTGGACGCAGACCCAGAACCAAACCCAAACAAGCTCAAAGACGCGCCTGCCAGAAGAAGATCATGCAGGTGATGCTCATCATTTTCCTCCTCGCAGACCCCCCAGCCGCATCCTCTGCATTACCGGGTCGGGGGCGCGGCGGTCACACAGTCGTTCGGCCCGCTTCGCAGGCCGTGCTTGCGGCGATCTTTTTTTGCTTTGGTGCCTGGGGCGGGCTCACACACCATTGACAACGCAGAGGATGCTACGATGAAGAATATCATCACAGTCATTCGTGACGCAGACGGTGCTACGATGATAGTTATCAATGGTGCTGATGAATGAGGATAAGGATGAGGATTGATCTTCTGCATCAGCAATGATCTCAATCTGAAACGTATATAGTTTTAGGTAGACGATGATAGGGATGAAAATTGTGATGAGAACTATCATCGTAGCACCCTCTGCATCACTAATGACTGTGATGATTTTTTAGTGCTCCGCGCGCCGGCCTCGCATGTCCGCCGCGCGGGCTGGATGGATGGACGCGATGGATGGCGGATTAGAGGGCAGATTCCGCAACGCAAACTTTGTCATCTTCAACTTGACAGCGGGTTGACAGCGCGTTGGTGCGGGGGGTTCGCTCAAGGCGAGGCAAGGAAACCGGCCAGCGACGCTGAAGGTGCACCCTCATGCTGACGGCCACGTTTGTCATGTCCGGCTCTCTATTTGGAAACGTGGCGGCGCTTCAGTAACGCGCTCTACCGTGGCCGGCGCCGGTTGTGGCGAGCCAGCGATCCGCTGCAAGGACTTCGCGCTTTCACATCAGTTGGCAAAGGCTGTTTTGGCGCGCCCTTGCTGGTCAGAGAGATCCAGACTCATTCCTGCCAAGCAGCCGAGCAAGCAGGGCCTGTTTGGAGAAGCCAGCGAAGCTGGCCCAGAGAGAAACAGCACATGAGCATAAGCGGGCCGCTAATGCTGTCCCCCCACGCTGGCGCTCTGAAACTGTGGCCTCTGTGGTCTCAGCGGCACGCCGCTCCAAAGCTGCAAGGCCCCCTGATGATCCCATGGCTTGCCGCGCATGGTGGTGGATGCTTCGCAGTGTCGGTGTGGCCATATAGAGCTGCCGGTTAACGTGTTGCGTAATCTCTAGGCTTCCTACACAGTCTTCCCCGCGCGCCATCCAACTTGCCTTCCTTTTGTCTTACACATGTGTGCTGAGCCTTTCTGCGGCAAGACTTGGAAGCAATACAGCACAAGGCGCGCGAGCTGGGTAGTTGGCGGACATGTCGTCCTGATGCGCATTTCAAAGAGGCTCAGCCCTCTCAATTGCAAAACCCTCCCGCTTGATTGTTTCTGCCGGGGTCACAGGCCGTCTTGTCCCTTTGCAAGACGGAGGCGTAAGTACAGGCTGTTGCACGCGCGCCCAGGAGACCCGCCGACTGTTGTCGCTGTTAAGCTTCCAGGATCCGTGGGCCAAAACTTTTGCAAGTTGCGGCAGGCGCCAACAGCGCGCAAGCGTGTCGAAAGAAACAGCCACCAGAACCAGCTCTCAGAACAGAGGCTGCAGCTGAGCTCTCGCAGGCCGTGCTTGCTCTTGCCAGTGTGATGCTGCCGACGCTGCCGAGCAGGCAAATCCACATCCTCGCAGGATGGCTGGGAGGTTATGGGTTCTGCAAGCGGGGCCGCCAAGTCAAACTGCGTGCTGGCCGCGCGAGGGTTTGCAGACCTGCGTCTGGCGCCCACGAGGGCTCCCGGTGCAAATTTGGATTCAAGCGCCCTAGGCTCTTCCTAGAAGAAAGCGCTTCCAGAAATCAATTTAGGAAACGCTTGTCCTAAGTCGCCTAAACCCCCCCCCCATTTTGATTGCCACTTTGGGGAAAGAAGGCCAGTTGCGCGGCCCCGGTCGGCAGGATTCTTGGAGCCATGCGTGGGCCGTGGTGCCGTGGCGCCTGCACATTGATGGCTTGAAGTGAGCAACAATGCCTCCTGGCAGAAGCTAGAAATGAATTTAGGACAGGCTGCTCCGAAATTGCGCAACCCCCAAAAAGGACTGCGGCCCGCAGACTTGCCCGTGGCGCGCAAAGACCCATTGCGGCTGAAGGTAAGCGACGCGTCTGCCGTCCAACAACAGCTTCAGCCGACAGGCTTCTGACCAGGCAGTGCCCTGACTGGCCTAAAGCGAGCGGACCAGCCTGCGCACAGGCGGCAGAGGCAACCTTTTGTTGGACTGTTAAGTTGGCCGAAGCGAAAAGCAGACAATTTGCTTAACTGAACACCGCACAGGACTTCAAAAAGATGAAGCAAGACCTGCCAGTGACAGCTTCATAAACCTAGCTTTCCTGCCCAAAAGCGATCGAGGGCCCTCGGCTCGGCCATGACCTCAAAGAAACGACAAAGTCTCCTTACTTTCCGTCGGGCAGAAGGGGGTAGTTTTTCAATCTTCGCGCTTCGGAAATTGGTTTTGCAGTGGCCCCGCCACTTGCGGCTGGTCGACGCCGGATCGCCCCGCAAAAGCTTCTGGGGACCTGCTTCTCAAGCACCTTTTCTGTGAAGGCTGAAAACGGGCCCTGCAACGGGCCCCCTTTTAAGTAGATGGTGTGGACACTTGCTGACCCACGGCTGCCTCTTCTCGAGTTGTGGAACCTGCTCTCGCCTGCACTGAATTTCACTTCCGCTTCGTAGGCTGCTGCTGCGGCTAGTGTGTTTCCAAAATGCCAGC